TTTTTTTTTTTTTTTTTTTTTTACCATGGGTGTGTAGAACTTTTGTAATCAGAAAAAAATATAAAGACAAAGTTTTAAAGTATTTATAGGTGACACAGTTTTCCTGTTGGAAACAAATGGAAAAAGAGACAATTCAAATATTATACCAACACTTGTTCATCTATCAGCAGATTCTATATTGAGCAATATATTAAAGGCCACACTCTTGGATGTGTTGTTTCTAAGGCAGCCAAGAAAAAAAGAAAAGAAATTAGTCTGTCTCTTGTTTTCTCACGAATGCACCACAGGAAGGCACGATTTGCATTTTTACTCTAAGCAATACAGCTAATGTTGAATTAAGAGCTATTTCTTTCATTAAGGCAATGTTTCTCAATTCCTTTTTATCAACCAGTTTAAGTAGAAGAAACACAGTTTGACATATCTGGCTAAAATTCAGGAATGCAATAGTGAGACTTATTACACATTTACCCATAATTCATAGAGCACAAAATTGACAGGTGACTCAAAAATATACATACTTGTCTTGTATTCACAAAACTCACTGCTTAAAAAGGCATTTAAGTATGGCTGAACCAAAATTCTCCATGCTGCCTTGGAGAAGACAAAGCAATTTACAAAGACACACAGATCACTGCAGTAGTTCTTATATGACTAAAGGTGACAATTCCTTCACATCTTGAGCTATGAAGACACTTAGTCTCACCGGGAAAGCACTAAGTAACCATTGATTCCCTCAAAAACAAAACAGAACAAAATAAAAACCTCACACAAACATCACCACCTCCACCAGCAAAATTAAAGGCAAGTCCTTGCATAACAGTTTTTATAAATATATCAATAAGGGGACATTTAATAACCTTTCTTTAAATATGCTTATCTTCTATTATTATCCCTTTCTTCTTTTAAAGAGAAATGAATAAAAATGAGGGCTTTATTTTTAATAGTAACTCAAGGAAATTAAAAAGACAGCAAAAAAAGGTAACTGTGAAGTGATGGATATGTTAACTAGCTTGATTGTGGTGATTATTTCACAATGTTTACACATATCAAATCATCAAGTTGAACACCTCAAACACACACAGTTTTATTTGTCAATTATATCTCAATAAAGCCAGGAGGAAGAAAGAGACCAGTCTGGAAAAACTCATGGACATATGTTAACATTTTATCAAAAGGTGTATCACAGTTTACTCTCCCTAAAAATCAAGATTAACAAAAGCACTCCACTGTAACAAATCCTACATCTCCATAACAAGAAGAGAAAAATGTGAAATTATTATCTGGATCACCGAAGTAAAAAAAAAAAAAAAATGTTGCATTTAGAAGTACTTCAGGTAATTCAAATGAGAGATACCCACCCCAACTCTTATATTGAAATTACTTAAATTGATGCCTCAATTTTACAGGGTTTTAAAAATTCAATTACAAAATTGAATAGAAATAATCTATTCCACATCCTCCACTTCCTGGAAGGACCATAGCCAAACTATTTCCAACAAAATGAGAATCTATTCTATTTCTCAAGACAACAAGAAAAAGAGATATCCTGCTGGGTTATCCGTCAGGCAGAACAATAGCAAAGACAGAAAGCTAGTTTTCAGCTTTTGAAATATCAGTTTGGGATGAGCAGATCATTTTTTAAGAGGCCTATAACTCTATAATCTTCTATAGACTAAAAGTTACATTGTTATAGCCTAATAAAAAAAATTTCAGGTGCTGTCTTTGAAGCAGTCTGATAATTTGTTAAATGATTATCCTCAGAGATGGAAGCAGTACATGTGGCAAAAAAATCTGTTTTTCTCCTCCTGTGATTTCCACTGCTCAAATTTCCAATAGGCAAAAGTAGAGGGAAGAGAGAAGATGGCTAAATCTGAGACAGATGGAATCAATGAAATGAAATTATGTGCTGTGAAGAGACTTGAATCTGTAATTTAAAAGTTGCCACCATGTATATTCAATCCATTCGATGCTGATCTTTAAAGCCCAGTATGTGGAAGCAAGAGAACAGAATATTTAACAAAATTAAACTTTGTATTCTCATTATTTCGCCTACATTTTTGTGTTTCCTAAAATCTGGACAGTATGCTAGTCAAGAAAATAAAAGGAATATGTATATTCTGTTTATATTCTGTGATATTTTAGGATTTGTTTTAAATTATAATAAAGACATACAGTAGAGAGTCAAGATCCAATTTCCAGTCCCAATACTCTTCATCATTAAAAAGTGGCATAAAATAAAAGGAATTTCCCCACCTTAATTTTTCAATTGATTTCCCTAACAGTAGAATAGTATCGGATCACTAGGTAGTAGCTGCTTGGAGTATCACATGAAGGAAATGATCCAGAGGCCACATGCAGTGCAGTCTGAAAGAGTGACTTGATTGATAAGTATTGTCTGTTTTGCCCACCAGTTGCTCAAAAACAGAAAGGGAGGGAAGAAGCACAAACACTGTATACTGGTTATTCAAAAAGCACTTTTTATTTACTTTAACACATATGACTTTCTACTGTTGAAACAAAACATCTGATATACAATTTTGAGTTTTTAGCAGCACCTGCAACAAGAGGATTGTGGAATACCTCAGGATAAAGTAGAGATGGCTGAGGCAGGCACAAATTAACCTGAAATTCATCAATCCACTGAAGACATATGGAATCTGAGGCCCCCTGAATATTAGCCCAATACATGAAAATAAACAAAATAAATATTCTTTATGATGTTCTAATTAACCATTGAGAAACAATATAGTTTCAATTAGAAATATCTTATTTAAAAAATCTAGTGTTAGTGAAAAGAAAACTACTGAAAATACTGCACTACACATTCTAGGGTACACAATTTCTAAGCCTATATGCACAGTTCCTAGGACTCACAGATCTTAGCCTTTGGTATTTTTTAATCTTACTCAAATTATACATCACCACCCCACTGAATATTGCTCACCAAAATGCCCCTGTTTTTGTCACTTAATGTTAAGTGATTTCATTAAGATATTGTGTAGTGATTTGGCAGAGAAAAAAAATTGGCGTGGCTAAGAGGAAAGGGGCTTCAGTTGACCCACCAATAAAATTAACACTTATCTTGGATGGACAGGAGACCTATGAATGGGATATTCACGTAAACTTTTTAACTTAAATGATCACATGCCATTCTGATAGAGACAAGTACTTTTGTGAGTGGATGGAGGTCTTTATGAAGGCCTGAGATCTACAAATAGAAATTATTATAAGCGGAGTGCAAGTAGAAAGAGAAGGCCCCAGGTCTCATGCACTTTAAAACAGTTAGCATTTAATAGTTCTGACGTACAAATTTTTACCCTAACATGATTGTAGCAAAATGATCATAGAATTTGGAAACCAGTATGGCTGGCTATAGGCATAGGCAGGATAGGGACCAATACTTATGAGCTGTGGGGTGCCAGTTCTGTCTTTGACATCTGGCACAAAAGTTAGTTGGACAATGGGGTCAGGACTATATTTAAATTGGAAATATTGAGTATGACTGGGTTGAAATACTGTCTTCAACTTGTCTATGTGGCCAAAAATTCCCAGAGCTCTTAAAGCACATAAGGTCCCATGTGTAAGGCTGATTCCATATGTGGCTACAATGGAGAGTTCTAAGCTGTGTACTTGTGAAAGCTCCCACCCCTTCCCTGTCTCAGGTCTCTTTTGGGGGTCATTTATAACTATTCCTCACTAACTTGGGTCACTATTTTTATCATAGATATTTTAAAACTACAGATTAAAAGCAATGCAGGACAAACAGGTCAACCAACATGAACCAGACTGCATATAGATAGCTGGTTGTCATAGTAATTAAATTTTGACAAACCATTTTTGTATTTTAATATTATATCTTTAGAATGTTCATCAGGGCACACAATGATTACTCAGATTTCAATAATTTTTCTGGCCATAATACAAAAGCAAAAGACAGAGCTATGTAGTTGCTGTTAAATGCTGATCCCAGAATAGTTTGAGCATTTTAAATGTCCCTCTCCATAGTCTTAGCTGTTGTCTTAAGATACATTTAACTATAACATAGCACTGAAATGTAGTTTGTAGCTTATAGATTCATAGAACTTAAGTTGGAAGGAACCTTAAACCAAACATTCAGCAGTACAGAAATCCTTTTTTATGTTTTTTTTAACAGATGGTCATCCAGCATTTACTTGAATATTTTTACTGGAAGGAGTTCACTATTAAGGCAGTCCATTCCACTGTTGGACAACTCTAATTATGAGAAATTCATTCTAACACTGGGTTAAAGTCTGCTCTTGTCACTTTCAGTGTTCTGGTTTGGCCAGCTAAACATACAGTACAACATACAAAAAATCAGTTTCTTCTTCTACAATAAATATTGGAGTTAAGGAACCTTGTGAGACAAGCCCATTATCCCCCACTCTTTTCTGAAGGCTTCTCTGAGAGCACAGCATGGTTGACCAAAGGACAATCAAAATTATGAGCAGAGAGCACTGCATACAAAGCCATATACTAAGCAGCATTGCTAAACTGATAAGAGGTTGCCAGAAAAGCAACATCCTTATGCAGCAAAAGTAGACTTATAAAGGAAAAGCAGACCAACCATTTATTTGCAAGGGTCGTTGGCATATTTAAGCATAATTCATTCCCTCATTCCTTGTTACTCCAAACACAAGGAGTATAATCAATTTCCAGTGTTACTAGTGTATCTCTTATTGAGATGCTATTTTTTGAAAAGCTCAGATGGGAGCAAAGCATACACAAGGATTTAAACAAGGCAGTGTACAACATCATACTTTTGCATTCCTAATCATTACAACCTCTGTAATTCAAGCTTAGGACATCGTTGTTTGCATTGTTCTATTTATTGTAATAAAGCTCAGAGTATTATCCCCCAACCCCCTTTGGCAGACATGTCAGAAACTGCTTGGCAAGAGTCGTTGGTGACATTTGTTAGTTGATTAATGGAACACTTAAAGGAATAGCTGGAGCTCTTTAATTCCTTCATGCAGCTGGGTTCTAAGTTTAAACTGTGATTTGAAAAAATGTTTAAATCTTTCAGGACTAAAACTTTCTGAAATGTCCTGATGCACACAAGAAGGAAATAGCAGAAATCACGCAAAATACTTGGCTTGATAAAGCACTTAAAAAAAAAATTGCTCTACAACTTTAGTTTGAAAAGCTCTAATGATCTCTTACCCTTTCTTTTGTGTGTGTGTGCTCTTGGAGGGGCACAGTTATCTTATATTACTGACTGACCAATTTGGGGTACACTTTTAAAAGGCTTCTTACTTTTAACAGCATGAAGATCCTGCTTTGGAGCCACTGTTCAAGTCAATAGTGTGACCTAACATGCAATGCTCCAACTGTTCCTCTACAGCCAACACCTGCCTGACAGCTTCTTCAAAGGCCACTGTCACATTAGTATCATCTTTGGCACTTGTTTCTAGATAAGGGTAATCCCCATTCTCCATACACCAAGCTTGTGCCTCCTCAGTAGTCACTTGCCTATCATCTTTGTCTACCTTGTTACCTAGAACTACAAAGGGGAAGTGCTCAGGATCTTTCACGTCTGCATAGTAGATGAATTCCTTCTGCCAGTTACCAAGGTTCTCGAAGCTCTGCCGGTCATCCACGCTGAAGGTCAAGAGACAGCAATCTGCTCCCCTGTAGAAGGGTGTCCTAAGGCTCTTGAAACGTTCCTGCCCTGCAGTGTCCCAGATCTGGAGAGTTACAAAACGTCCATCTACCTCCAGATCTCGATTTAAGAACTCTACCCCTATTGTGTGAAAAGCCTGGGAGTCAAATTTATTTGTTACATAACGGTTCATAAGCGAGCTTTTCCCAACTCCACCATCACCCAAGAGAATGACCTTTAAGAGCAGGGATTTACCACTCATTGTTGCAGCACCAGATGGGGAAGAGTTTCTAACCAAGAGAACCTGAAAATAAAATAAAAAGTAAGAGGGAAACAGTTAAACTTGAAATGGAAATCAACTTCATAATAACTGAATCTTGAGGCCTAATTTAGCTTCTCTTGATTCACGCTCATCAATTGATATAGTACAGCAGAAGGAATAAAACTCTTTTTGCATGAGGGGGAAAATAGGTCTTGTTTTTCTGAGGTATCTTGCTTGTGCCAGGAAAATGGCTGAATGCCATGGGTAAGCAGACTAGCAGATGGTGTTGCAATTTGGTTCATTTCTGACCCTATTCTCTCTTATATGAAAAAATCTAGAACAGGGATACCACTTAAATGTGTCACCACATTAGCTTTAGATTTGGATAGTTCTAAACAAGAGGCAAATAGTGTGAAATTGATTTTGAGTTTGAAGTTTGTTCATGATGGACCCAAACATTATTAAGGAGAGAAGGCTGTATAAGCTAGAATTCTGTCAGTAGAGGTTTGGGCTAGAATTACACCAAACTTGGAAGAGACAAAAAGATCAAGTTTTTTCTGGTATTTGCTCTATTATACTTGTATTGATATGGATACCCTCACAAGTAAAGGATCTTCCATAATCTTTTCTTCATGGAACAATAGCAGTTAAGTTGATGGCTTGACTGGTAACAATATAACAGCTTATCATTCAGGAAGAATATCTTGAATAGCTTATCCATTTTTAGTTTTAGATTCTAATTCCGTACTAGCACTAAGGAAACACTGTAAACTCTAAAACGCTAATAATTATACTAAATCCTTTTGTTACCTCCATAACATTTCTATACATGGAATACCTAGAAGGCATTTTAAAATAAAAAGATCAAATGTTTACTGAACAACTATCTTGTACTAGATTCGGTTAGGTACGTTCACACCAGCTCCAATGTGGAAACTCAACAATGATGATGTTAATTGGATATTATCTTTGCAAGAGACCCAAAGAGATGAAAAGTAATCACTAATCAAACAGCACATACAAAAGTGTTTCTGGAAGCAAATACATTTAAAATGTAATTTAAAAAACCTCAGTAGTTCTTAAAATTATGTTGGTGTGCATGTGTACTAACCATACATTTTTCCAAACATTCATTTTTTAGAAGATCCAATGAAAAAATATAAAATATATGTCTAGCCAGTTCAGTATAAAATATAAACCTACCCAGTTGGGTTTTTGTCACAATCTGGCCTTTTTCTTGTCTTTTTCTTTTTTGGGGGGGATTCTAAAAAACAAATTGGGAAACATTATTTTTTAAAAATCTATAATAAAATAAAGAATATATGTTAAACTTAAGTTAGGAAAACAACAGACCAACCTCAACTTAATTACAGAGAATCCTTTTCATAAATATACTTAAGAATTCAAAATATTATAAATGCTTAACATGGACAAAATAATTTTATTGCAAGAACTTCAACTTTTCCTAACTTGAGTGTACTTTATATAATTTTTAAAGTTTTACATTATCTCTCCACTTAAAGTAAATCAAAGAAGGTGAGTGATAGTCACAGTAGAAGATATTCAGGAAAGGGAAAGCACAGAGGAGTCTAAGATATGTTGAGATTCTATGTCAGAGATGAAACTACTTGCCTTTATACCTACTAATGTCCCAATCTCTAAGAACTTTCTAGTGCACTCACCAATCTGCCTTAAGTTTGTCTCTGCATTTTATTCCACAAGATCAGACAAGAAACAGTTATGTCTATGGATTCCTTATTTACAATGTATTCTCTTGGTTAATTATTTTACTCATTAATTTTGATCATCTTTCTTGAACACAAGTTTTAGTATTTAACTGGCTTTATTAAATTAAAACACAACTTCATTTAATATTTTAGTTAATTATGGCAAGAGTCTTATTTAACCAGCATCAAGAATACAGGTCTAAACACTATGGTGATGGCCAGGGAGCAGGGGTGCTGGGTGGAGGTGGGCAAGCGGGGATGAATGAGGGACATCTGTAATAGTGTTAGCAATAAAAATAAAGTTAAAACAAAGGAAAAGAGTCCCTAGATTTGTTGAGTGTTCTTTCTTAGTGAGACATAGAGAAGCTTTCAAAAAAATCTCTCTTGCTTAATAATCTCATGCTATTTTTAAATTAATTTTTACTGTTGAGAGTATTACAGACGTCCCCCATTTCCACACTTCCCCCTTACCCCCCTCCATTGGGCTCCTGCCCCACCCCAGGCCTTCACTATTGTATGTGTCCATGGGCTATGCATATATACATATAAGTTCTTTGGTTAACCTCTCTGGCCCCTTCTTCTGAGATCTGTCAGTCTGTTCCATAATTCCATGTCTCTGGAATTATTTTGTTCATCATATTATTTTTTCAAATATAGATAAAGCATATAACAAGGGATTTATTAGATATATAAATTAGTAATTATGAATTTAAATAAAGTTTTTTATTTTGTTATTATTATTATTATTTTTTTTTGGTATGTGCCCCTAGCGGGAACTGAACCTAGGACTCTGTGGTCTGCAGGCCAATGCTCCAACTGCTGAGCCAAACTGGCCAGGGCTAAATAATGTCTTTTAAATGGATAGGCTTTATTCTCTTTCTTGGACAATATTTATTCTAAAGAATTCTAAAGTTTCCCACAATTCTTAATTTTTGTCCTCCTTTTTATTTGCTCTCAAGCTGCTGTCTTTGGCACCAGCTCAAGTAACAAACATTTCTTTAAATGGCGATTTTTATTTTATTTTATTTATTTATTTTTCAATTTTATTAATTTATTTTTGTTACAGATGTTTTTAATACTGGTCTGTAGGATAACTTTCAGAGGACAACTCTTGAACTCTCATTTAAAAAGGTAACAGGACGGCACTGGCTGGTGTGGCTCTGTGGATAGAGCGTTGGCCAGTGCATCAAAGGGTCTCTGGGCACATACCTGAGTTGCAAGTTCAATACCCAGGTTTTTTCTCATTCTCTCTCCCTGCCTCCCCTCCACTCTCTCTTAAAAAAAAAAAAAAAAAAAGGTCAATGGAAAAAATATCCCCGGGTAAGGATAAACAAACAAACAAAATAACAGAAGGAAGTAAAAACTTGGGCACAATACTGATACTATGAAGGGTCTGTGACAAATGAGTTTCCTTAAGTATCTAGCAAACAGATGTCCATATCATTCAATGACTCACTAACTCTACTTTCCTGGTTGCGAATACATCAGATGATGGGTCAAGGACTGAGTGCATATGGAAACCAAATACTCAGCTCCAGGAATAATTATGAAGTATTAATAACTATCTGAGATAATGCTGCAGTTGCTTGTGCATTCCCTATTTGGTCACGTGCACACGTAACTTCTGGGTACATAGGGAAGAAAAGCAATGTGGTTCAGTGTCAAGTGCACTGGGCTGGCAGAAATCAGGAGATACGGGTCTTCATCGAAGTGTTCCCATTCATTTATTTTATGAACTTCTACAAGTCACTTAACCTTGCCGTGTTTCAATATCTTCCTATATAAAAATAAAGCTGCTATTACCTTCCCTACTTAACTCATAGGATTTGAAGGGAAATGAATAAGTCTGCAAAGATTTGTAAGCATTTATTGAAATTTTTGGTTTGAGGTTTTTATTCTTTATGCTCCTCCATCTCCTTTCATTCACTGGTGAGGGCCTTATGACTTCTCAGAAAGGGCCTGCTGGTAGGAAGATAACAATTCTTCCTTTTCTCTGTCTTCCATATTTGAGAATGCCTTGTTTCCCAACAATTTTGAGCATCTGCATATATCACAGAATCTCAGTGTTGGAGGGACTTTAAAGGTATTCTGGTCCAATCCTGCTACTGATGCGTGAGAAAACATTTGAGTGCCTATTGTGTGCTGTATCCTTACTAATGTGGCCCTCCACTCTCCTCTGCTATCTCCAACTCCCATTTTTTTGCTGTAAGTAGAGATGAATACATTTTAGGCTTGTCTCATTGCTTTCAGTCACTAAATTCTGCTGATTTTTCCTTGGATTATCATTTTCTGGTCCTCTGCTACCATCCTCATTTTGGCCCACATCTCCTTGCATCTAGTCTATTATGAAAGCTTCCTGGCTGTTCTCTCCCTTGCCTCTGGTTTCTCCTTACCTGATTTACTATGCAAAGCTTAATCACTTGAGCACTTGCTGTTGGAAATGCACGCATGTTTCGGGTGAGTCTTACCCTCAAGGAGTTTACAAATGAACATATAAACTTCAGATCTCATGGTTTACATGAGTTAAAACAGCATCATTATACCACCTTATTTTGTTAAGAAAACTTTTTTCCAAGTATGTCTTTCCAACACAACCAAATTTTAAATTCCTGGACCATAAGGGTCTTTTTTGTATATGTCTTTCAAGCTTCTTCAATATGCAGCACCAGGGTCCTCCATATGGCTAATAAATTAATATTTTTTCATTAATTGTTTAAGTAGGTGCCCAAAGCTAATGCCACTGAATTTATGCCAAGGTACAATAGAACCACAGTTCTGTAAGAAATTCAAATACTATTATTTATAAGGTGACTAAAGAGCAGAACTCATGAACTTATCTGGATCACTTTCTAGATAGAACTTAACAGGAATTCCACCTGTTGAAAGTCAGTGGAAATACTGCAGTCTCCCTCCTACTCCCCTCCCATTTAAAAAATAAGTATATAAAATCTACTATTCCCATAAAAAACAAGAGGAGAATAAATATCTCCACTTCATGTTTTCAGTGATTGCTGGCATTCCCGCCATCATCATCATCATTGAAAATGAGTGTGATCTCCTTTAGTACATAGTTAAGTTAAAAAGAAGTAGCACAGTATAAAAGCAAATCAATTTTCCTCCCCCAGAATATGCCAAATTTAAATTAAACCTTGAACAAAGAAAACATAAAGTAGGCAAAAAACCTCTTTGATAACTCTAAATACATTTAATAGGAATGTGAAACCCCTCATATATCCCTTATGGGTCCCATATAAAGTTAGGATTTGGACTAAA